TTAAATATGTAATGCAATTTGGACGCTGTGGTGTGAAATGCTGTTCACTGAGATCAAATGTCCTGCATACAGGTCTTCAGATTTCCACATAAAATTGTTGGAAAAAAGAAATAGCAAGATGCACTTTTTCTATAAGGATAAACATACGTCTTCTGAAAAAAAAAAAGATCAATATTTTTTTAAAAGTTGAGTATAAACACACTGGCATGCGTAGGGTATGAAAAGCAGGATCAAAAGTCCTATGTAAAGTATTTTTTTTTAAATCTTCTGTCTTTATTTTCTCTGTAAATCTGAAAGTGGGTCTTGAAATTTGATCAAAATTTTTTATAAGCATGCATGCACTATTTTAAATATTGATCTTTGTGCATATCATATCCATTGGTAGTCTCATGATGTGCACCATCATTAAATGCTTAACCCTGGAAAGGATCTATTTCCTAAGAACCAAAGTTTCTGCTTTCTGAATACTGATTATTAGACACAAAAAGAAAACAACAACAAAAACATGTTTTAGAGGAAATATTACTAATTAGGTTTACTAATAGAAATATTAAATGTAAATCGTTAACCAATGTGATTAGTAAAGCCTCAGTGTATAAGCTGACCATATAAGGTGTGCTGACGCATATCATTTCCCTCTGTGGCTCTTTCCTGATTAAGGTCAGTCTGTTTCAGGATGTAGGGTATGAAAAGCAGGATCAAAAGTCCTATGTAAAGTATATTTTTTTAATCTTCTGTCTTTATTTTCTCTGTAAATCTGAAAGTGGGTCTTGAAATTTGATCAAAATTTTTTATAAGCATGCATGCACTATTTTAAATATTGATCTTTGTGCATATCATATCCATTGGTAGTCTCATGATGTGCACCATCATTAAATGCTTAACCCTGGAAAGGATCTATTTCCTAAGAACCAAAGTTTCTGCTTTCTGAATACTGATTATTAGACACAAAAAGAAAACAACAACAAAAACATGTTTTAGAGGAAATATTACTAATTAGGTTTACTAATAGAAATATTAAATGTAAATCGTTAACCAATGTGATTAGTAAAGCCTCAGTGTATAAGCTGACCATATAAGGTGTGCTGACGCATATCATTTCCCTCTGTGGCTCTTTCCTGATTAAGGTCAGTCTGTTTCAGGATCAGATCCAGATCAATGCAGACATGGCTACTAGTTTCTCAGGTTGGATTGATGAAGGTGGACACTTGAAAAATCATCAAAGGCACGGTTATCTGTGAGTTTAGATTTGGCCACCAGCAGCCCATAAATCACAGCTTCAAAGCAGACAATCCGTCTGGAGTCGTCGAGGCACAACCTCCTGCTCTTGCTCTTGCAGTTTCAAAATCGTCGTCTGACTTGTATGAATTCTTTCAGTCATCACTGTCTGACTTAGTTTGTCTGAAGCAACAAATCAGAAAGTATTGGTATAGAACACTTTTTTTTTTTTTTTGGTGCAGGAAACCAGCAAAACCCATCTCTTCCCCACACTCCTCCTCACAATACTCACATGACTGTCAAGATAGCATCTTATCAAATGTTTTGGCACTTTTATATGGAACTTTTTGTCTGTTTCAAAAATATATTTTCTGAGATGACAACCTGAAATCAACCACAACAAAAAACAATACAGGGAAGTAACTGGCTATGGATGGATTTCCGTAGAATGCATTTCAGTGATGCAATAACACCCACAAAATGTGAGTGTATTGTGTGACTGCATCGCATCTTGTCGGTGTCTCTGACTAGTCCAGTTCTAACCAGATGGGGTTTATAAATAAAGTCATTGCAGTGCAGCTGATTGCTCTCTTTGTGGTAGTGGACAGAGTCCAAATAAGGTGCTGGTATGTTTAAATCTACATAATGTTGTTAAAGGGGGCATAACACACACAGTTTCACCCAATCTCATGTTAATCTTGAGTACCTATAGAGTAGTACTGCATCCTTCATATCTCCAAAAAGTCTTTAGTTTTATCATAATTATAAAAGAAAGATACAGCTTTACGATTCTCTCCGGAAAAAGCCGAGCTCCTGGAGGCGCGCCGTGGGCGGAGCTAAAGAGTGACGAGCACTTGGGCGCCAAATGCCAACAAAACAGACGTTTGATGCAGTTTCACTTATGCCGAGTTCACGCTGCACGATTTTAGCCCGATTTTTCACTCGCCGACAGGTTTTGCGAAATCGATGGCAAATGCCCGAAATCAGAGCAAAATCGGTGCTCGTTCACGCGAGTGACAATCACTCAGTGTGAATTATCAAAGACGCGATCTGAGGGAATCGCCGACACGTCGCGTGCAATGAGTTCTGACTGAAAAACACATCGGATGACCTACAGCCAATGAGAGAGAGCACTATACAGGGCAGCGGGAAGTTCGGGAAGGAGTTATATGAAACGTAGTTTGCGGACCAGTGTTGCCAAATCCGCGATTGCCGCCAGTTGTTTTTTATGTCAGCAGGTTGAAGCGACCCCAATAACGTGATATTTAGGCCCTGGAATGTGAATTGTACCAGGAAGCAACTGAATGCTACCCCAGATAGTCACGCAGTGTGAAAACAACGGCGATCTGACGAGTTTGAAAATCGTGCAGCGTGAACTCGGCATTACCGTCTGTAATCATGTTCTGAATCATGACCGGGATCTTTTATCACTGGGACCGCTCCATCTTTCAGTATCAAACGATGAGCCCTTGTTTATAAAACATTCGTCAACAAACACACTTGCGAAACTCCGTTGCTGCCCCAGAAAAACAAACTGTATCCACTGTTTACATAACGCTGGGTTCTTTAGGAAGCTGAACAAAGTTATCTTTCCCTTAAAACCAAAAACACACTTCTTTGGATTGGAGACATTCTTCCCGAGCGAGTCCCATGCAGCGCTGCCGCCGGATGAAACGCGTTGATGGGTGCGATCTCGCTCTCACTCTGGTCGATGCGTGCGCGGGCACGCTCTTCCGGGAGAAATGCCACCCTTGTTTACGTCATGAAGAGCCAACTTGTACGAACCCGGAAGTAAGATATTTGGCACAAAAATACTCCGTCATACATCCAAATTGTTTTTTGAAACTTTGTCCATGCTTAGCATGAGAATCCAACTCTTTAACAGTGTAAACAACTCTGAATGCATGAAACAGCATTGTACCCCCCCTTTAAGTTTCGATAAAACTGGGAAGGCACTTTCCACAGTTAGGGTTCAAAATACGGTCTGAAATTCATTTTGTTTATTTTATAGCAAATTTGAAGAGCATCTAACTGCCTGCTCATAAAAAAAAATGTAAAAAAATCTATGCCTTCACTTTTTCTATTCTTTTATTATCCTTTATCCCTTCATGTCCTTGCTTTTACTATTTAGAACGATGACTGAAACGTTGTTTAACTTCTCGTGTTTATTGCCATCTTATGATAAATCGCTTGTTGTATTCCTCAACTGTAAGTCGCTTTGGATAAAAGTGTCTGCGAAATTAATTAATTTAAATGTAAGGTCAGTATAAGGAGATGCATAGCCTGCAGAAAATGTTAATCATCAACCTCAAAAAGGCAAAGTATTTACAAAGTAAAAAAATTAAGTAATCTTTTCATTTATTTCAAAGTTAACCATTATTTCTTTATTTGCTTGTTTGTTTATATATTTCTATTTTTTTCTTTTATTTGTCATCAGAAAGGGTACAAATTACGTAAATTCTTGTCACAATGTGAACACCCAAGCATCATGCTGTAATGTGGTTAAAACAGATTTAAAGTGACGTGTGGCCAAGTACGGTGTCCCATACTCAGAATTTAACCCATCCAAGTGCACACACTGATCAGTTAAACCAGCGCCAGGGCCCTGTTCCTAATTCGGGCCTGTCAAGAAGGTCAAGATTAGGGACAAAAATCTATATTTTAATGGGGATTCAGACATTTGATGTTTAAAAATAGCTACTTTATACGCTACATTCATTTTATGTTCAGACAGGAGTTCTAATAGTTCTCACCTTTAAGATAGGAAAGGATATGTGCCTCTACTTTTTAATAAAAATAACTAACGGGACATAAAAGTGCACCTTATTCACAAGAAGACCCATGAATTGATTGATCTCGAAGTCTTCATATAGAGGAAGTCCAATTTCTGGGATAACAGTCTTGCTGTGTTGTTAGGGATGCTCCATCTCATCAGGACGCTGCCAGCAGCTGCGGGACTGTCTGTTTCCATCCATCAGACTTAATACTGTATACACGGCCTCCTTCAAGATGCAGCACATCCCATCAGTAAAGCCAAGGGAAGATAAACAAATACACAGCCTTGTCAGTTACAAGTGAGTGAAGTTTAATGAACTACATCACTACTGCAGCAATACAGATGTGCTGAGTATATATGCAACTTAATGTGAACTTTTGCATCAGTTTAGCATATATAATTGTCATGCACTGAAGAGACTGAAATGCATTTATCAGATATAAAAAGTCTGTAAAAATAGGGTCCAATGTACTGTGTTAATGTGAAGGAATTTCCGTGTTGATTTTTCGCAGGTGTTTTCCCTGTATTTTGACTTATGCATTGTGCTGTAGGTTTAAAGGAAATGTCCATAAAATTAACAGAACGTGTCCTGTCAGAAAATCACCTTTTCAGATTTTTTTTTGCTTACAGTGTGTACATTACAACGTAAGAATCAAGACAAAACATGAATGAGGCAACAGAAAAGGTTGATCTTAAAAGTATTCCATTTATTCAGAATTCAATTCATCAAATCTGTGGCTGTGACATGATGCTCGTATTGTTACAATACAAGAAAAAACTTTACATAATAAAGCATAGTGTTGATCATTTTTCTTCCTGTGATGAAGATAATAACATTAACTTTTTTGAATTAGATACATTTCATTTTACAAACAAGTTTGAGGATAGAGAACAACCAACACACACTGGTCAAAATAAATAAATAAATAAATAAATATTAAGTTAAAAAAATAGACATTTCGAATGAATAAATATGTAATCCACATCTCCATAGCAGAACGTCCGTTTAGTTACTTTTGTGATTTGCATTCTTCAGTTTGCAGTTCGCATTCCAGTTTTGGATGAACGCAATGTTATCCTGAATCAAAGGCTTGATATCGTCTGATGTCAATTTTGTGAGGTTATGCGTTGTGAAGTTACAGTTGACATTTGACTCATTCTGGAAAAATCAAAGGACAAAATACATGCATTCCATTACTTAAAATGATAAACTAGTTCATCTTTATATGCTGCATAAGACATCGAATTCTTTCTTTAGTTGAACAGAGATGTTAAAATGATATGAGAATGTTTAACAACTCGTGATGAGGTGTCTATGGGGTTAAACAATGGATGGTGCAATTCAAAACAAAAGTCTTACCTTGACTACAGTTTCCTGCAGTTTACACACGTTGTCGAGAATGTTGCCATACAGGCTTTTGGGTACTTCACTTTTAACTGACCTTAGAAATCGCTTCAGGTGTTCTGCAAATAAGGACTCACACTCACACTGTGGGTACAAAACAGTCCCCATAAGAATCCATTCATGCAATTTATTATTATATTTAAAGCAATTGTTTCAATGTTCTGTAATGCAGAGAAAATTACACAAAATACTCACTGCATTCTTTACTTCTCGTGGTGTTTGGATTTGTACTGATTTATTGAGAGCCTAGAAATTGAAACACAAGTCAGTTGATGTGTGCAACATATTAGTCCATACTTATACAGAACGTATGTTAAGCCAAACAAATACTTCTCTTATTAGAATTGGCATTGAACTATTTTTAAGAACTAAATCATTTCTCTTACGCGTTAATGCAAAAATAATTTGCTTACCTTGAAGTCATGCTTCTCAAGGCTTTTAAGCCTGTTCAGAAGTTCACATAAGGTTTTAGCGACGAGTTTGTCCGAGTTTGCATAGCTAAGAGCAAGCAGTGCCATGAGAAGACCTAGCAGTTTCATGTTCTTGTTCGCAGGGATGCTTTCTAGAGATAATGATCTTATTCTGCACTCCAACCTTATATACACACCATAAAGCAGGAAACTAATACCACATACGCTACACCATGATGTAAATCGGTTAAAGTGGAAAATACTAGGGTTTCATTAAGAAAGCTACACTGCCCACAGAGGAAAAACATTACACACTAGGTGGGGATAGTTACACACTAACTGTGAACATGTTAATTTTATTATATTAAAAGTTTAGTTTTTGTTGTTATATAATAATACTGTGCATATAATGCTGAAATGCTAAAGGAATTTAAAATATATACATTTTTAATTTATATAATGCAGGCAGTATTCTTGAAAGCAAAGGAACAGTCATATACAAGGAAAACATGAAGCTGGACTGTGCAAAAGTCTCTTAGAAAGACAAGTGGACGTGATAGTTAAAGCAATAGTTCACCTGAAAAGTTGCTGAAGTTTGTTTCTTCATCAGATTTGGAGAAATGTAGCATTGCATCACTTGCTCAGCAGTGAATGGGTGCCGTCAGAATGAGAGTCCAAACAGCTGATTAAAAACATCACAATAATCCACACCACTCCAGTCCAGCAGTTAATGTCTTGTGAAGCCAAAGAAACAAATCCATCTTTAAGACAATTTAACTTTAAACCATTGCTGGTTTAAATTTCTGGCCAAAATACAAGTTCATAATCCATAAGTCAAGTCAAGTCCCCTTTATTTATATAGCGCTTTATACAATACAGATTGTGTCAAAGCAGCTTTATATTGTTAAACAGGAAAATAGTTTGTCAATAATGCAAAAGGATAAGAAGTCCATTTTTTTCAGTTAAAGTCAGTTCATCATTGATTCAGTGATGTCATCATCCAGTTCAGCTCTCTTCCAATAGTGTCTGTGCAATCAAGCCGACAATATTGCCAGAAATTAAGCGTCCCCAACTAAGTAAGCCAAAGGTGACAGTGACAAGGAACCAAAAAACTCTCTCCACTGGCCAGACAAAACCAGCATGATGTGGTTTGAAGTCCCTGTTGTCCTTTTACATCAAAATCCACCAACATATTCATTTGGAGCTGTTTTGGACTGTTTTGATCTGTGCTTATTTGTCTCCTGATTCAGACCACACAACTTTTTCCACTGGAGAAATCAATATTATGGACAGAGGACTCATATTTCAGTTGGAAGCGACGGTCTGAAGTTAAAACCATCTTAATGATGGATTTGTTTCTTACAAACACACAGCTTTTCTCTTCACAAGACATTAACTGATGGACTGGAGTGGTGTGGATTATTGTGATGTTTTTATCAGCTGTTTGGACTCTCATTCTGACGGCACCCATTCACTGCAGAGCATCCACTGCTGAGACACTGATGCAATGCTACATTTCTCCAAATCTGATGAAGAAACAAACTCATCTACATCTTGGATGACCTAAGAATGAATACATTTTTATAAAATTTTCATTTGTGGGTCAACTATTCCTTTAATAGAGGTCATAGGAATATCAATATGAAAACCAGCATTAATTTCAACAGTGTTTAAAACAGCACTGGTTAACATAAAAGTGGCCAAGAATTTCACAGAAAAATGTTATCTCATTAAACAGAGAATTCATGTGGGTGTCAGAGGTTTCTGTATTAATTTTTTTGTGGTACTGACACGGTTTACATTAGCATTTAAAAGGTCATAGTAGAGATATTTATATATTAGCTATGTCTCATATGAGGAACTAACTCAGCTGGGTAAATTCACATTTCATTTCAAAGCTAATCCGGAAGAGGTGGGCCAGTGAGTTTCTGTAGCCTCGCTGAGGGAAATCCATTGATGACGACATAACAATTAATATAGGCCCCACCTTCACAAGCTGTAAATAATAGCAACTTACACTGAAGTGCAAATTCATGACTCATCACAGCGTCATCATTGACATCTGAAATGTTTTCTATTCAACACTCTTACCGAAGACAGATGTACAATACACTCATCATTAATGAATAATAGTAATAAATTAAATACAAAATTGAATTCACTGTTTAATGTGTTTCTTCAACGTTCAGGATGGATTTTGATTACATTCTATTAAAAGATCAACATAATCAAGTACTGTTGACTCAAAGCTTCTCATTCATGTCACGGTTTATTGAGCTTTTTTAAATGTATGTGCACAAATGCATTTTTCTACAGAGCAGTGAAAACAAACACTCAAGATGGCTAAAGCATGCATGCATGCACCTTTTCACAAATGCGCCGTTTTGTAGTTTACACAGAAAATAACAATATTGTTTTTTAAATCTTGCACTTTGAAACACGTTTCCAAAAGTTTGCGTTTTCAAGCCACCAAAACGCCATTGCCATGTAAATGGCGAAAATGTTAAAAACGTTTCGGTGTAAACGCCCCTTAAGGTGGCGTATGTGTATAACGTTTCTGTGTAGTATTTTTTTATAACGTGATATTGGCAACTACTGGCCTGGCATGGATAATACAGCATTTTAGTTGTTTTCAGTTAACAGGGGTCATTTTGACAACATTGACGTCTGTATACAAAAAGCGCAAAGGAAAAGCTTTTCTGTTTTTAGCACTTCATTGCCATGTAATCATACCCTAAGATGACAAACAGACTTCCAGTGTAAGTGGATCAATATTTAAGTTACATTTATGTATAATTTATTAAGTAGCTATTTAATAATGAGGATTATGTATAGTCAAATTAGCTTAAAATAAAGTCTTTCGGGACCAGGCATTGACTACACAGTCAGCAGTGTTAAATGGTTGTCCCTCCTATTGACCCCTCTGCATTTCGGCTGGTTACGTTTACATTATGCCTTAAGTGTTGTTTGTCACATAGACAGCTGGTTTAATTTGAAGTTTTGTAGATCAAAATGGTATATTTGACCAAAAATCCTATGCTAGAAGCAATCTGTTAGAGGTTTTAATTTACAATATGGCAATTTGAATGTCGCTTAGAGAATAGATTATGACTGTGTCATATGTAATATATTTTTTAATTCTCTGGTTTGATTTGGTCATTTTTTACTTTATCAGAATGGTACAAAACTTGGTAAAGGTTTTGGCAATTGCAATGTGCAATTACAATTTAGTGTACAACATACTTGATAAATTATATATTTCTTATAAAATGTCAAAATAATATTTTTGTGCATTTTTCATATTACTAATTTTAAACGTCTAGCTATAACTTTTTTTCACATCAGCAATAATCTGCCAAGTGTATTCTTTAAAAAGAGACCAAACTTAAGTCTGTGCTCCAAAGCGTTCAAGTGTTATGACAGTTTAAGTTGGAAATTTCATTTTCAGGTCTATGCTCAAAAAGTGTTAAAAAGGTAATAAATGGATTATTAACTATTCCATAAAATGTAGCACCATAAATTCTGCTAAAAATACAAAATATTAAATAAAAAAACATTATCAAAATAAAATATAGTACATTCATTTCATATAAAAAATAAAAAATAGCCAGGTGTCTGCACATTTTTGTTATTTTGCAAAGTTGCACATTTATGAGCTTCACATGAATCTGAGAAATAGGAGTGACTCATTTCAGCTGATCAATGTGATGAGTCTACATTTCACTGCTTGTCTTGTCTCTTAACACGATCAGCTGCTTAAAAAAAGTTTAAGTTTTGTATTTAGTGGAATTCACCTTGTGTGCCCTAGTAACGAGACTTATAACTGCTTATGGTTACATAAACTATTTGATATTTTATATCAATATCTGTATAGAGTATATAACTTGACTTTTCCCAGAGTTGCGTTGTTCAGAATAATCGTCTAGTGATTTGTCACCACCATTTCATCATTTCTCATTAAAGACTTATTGTCAAGTCAGTGGGCTTCTTGACACATGGATTGTGATGTTGAGGTCACTGAATGATCTATGGGTTTCACAGATCTCAACCACAATTAAAAAAGGAAGAATCCGACTCATCCGTACCAGCCTTACTTCCCCAGCTTAATTTTCTCCAGTCCCAGGAGACTTTGTGGGCCATGACAACAGAAGCGTGAGTGTCACTGAAGGCAGCGGTTGACACCGTGTTTGTGAATTTTGAGGGAGGACATGCATTTCTGCATGTATAACAGAGATGGTGAGTGATACGAGAAACGTGTTACCTTCAACCCCAAGTTCTGCCATTGCGCTGCTTCTCCGCAAGGGAGAAAAAAAGCTTACCAAAGAAAAGCCCTTAACACGAACGAAAAATTATGACTCACATTTAGAAGTTCAAGAACATGACATTTTGTAAAAATCATGGACATTCCACCGGACAAGTACTTATTCCATAAAAATACTCATTCCATTTTGATTTTTAAAATTAAAATTTTTTTTTTTTACTTTAACTGTGAGATAATTTTAAGAGATAATATATCGCACATTCTTCACTATATATATATATATATATATATATATATTTATATATAACTCCACAAACAGCATCACCAGCTTCATGCATTACTAACCAGTTAGACTTTATTTCCGGAGTATCTAAAACAGAATTATTGAGAATTAAGGTTTAGATGTTTTTTTTTTTTTTTTTTAACTTACCGTTTTGGTGAATAGTGTTTGCTTTAGTTGGCTCTTGACCCTTGACTTTAATTTGAAGTTAAAATAAGTTTCTCTTAGCACATATGTGATGGCAAGGAACTTATGGTAAAATCATTTCGTGCATCTGAGTGTCTGGTTGCATTTTCTCAAAATCTGTAGTTCTTTTATTCAATTCAATTCAACTTTATATAGCGCTTTTCACAATACAAATCGTTGCAAAGCAACTTTACAGCAAATT